GACGGACCCCTGAAACGGAGTTTTGAGGCGGAGTCACCGGAGAAAAAGAGGCGTCAGTGAACCTGTACTGCGCTATAGCGTTCTTCGCAATTTTTTGCTGCGAAACCAGTACAAGGTTGTTCGTCGCGGAACTCTTACCCTCCCGGCGCCATATTTTCAACTTCTATAACTGATGTGGACCGTGCCTTCAAGTCTGATGTACTCATGATTTCAGATCATCACTTCTGATCAGAAGCGGTGGGAATTTTGTGTGGCAGCCGATGAACGCGACGCTTGGGTGGCAGCTATTGAAGAGCAGATTGAAAAAGCTCTCCAGAACCAGATGAGCAAGCCCAGTACCAGAGCTCGTGGTGATAGAGAAGAGGTTCGCCTTTTTCTATCTTCATTTTCTAAACTTTTTTTGGTCCTTAATCACCTTCCTGCATGGTTTTTATTTCAGGTACTGGCTCTTCGCCAGTTGCCCGGCAATGATCGTTGTGCGGACTGTGGCCAAACATCTCCCGACTGGGCAAGCCTCAATCTTGGCATTTTGATATGCATCGAATGTTCTGGAACTCATCGAAATCTAGGGTCTCATATTTCACGGTAAGTCTAACATACTGGAGTTTTACTTGAAATATCTAGAAATTCAATAATTAAGAATCTGTCGACATATTCTTTGATAGTTATGAACTTTTCCTTGAATTTTGTTGCTGAACCCATCTAAACGTGCACGTTTAGGGTTCGATCTCTTGACTTGGACGCCTGGCCTGTAGGAATTTCTGGCAGTGATGCAGGCTATTGGCAACGATGCAGCAAATCGTCTCTGGGAGCATCACGCTCCCGCAGACCGACGTCCACAACCGGATAGCTCACTGTAAGTGTTTCCTGGTTGATGTTGACTTCATCATTACTGCTACCAATTGAATCTCCCATTCCCTTTGCTGGAAGTGACTTGCCTCCCTCCTTGTGAGTGTAACGATCAGGGCACGTCCTGCCGCTGGGGAGAATTTTCGGAAAAGTACGAGCCCCTCCCCTGAATTCCCTCGTCCGATGCGATTCCCTCTCCCCTCGCCCTAACCTTTTCCCGCAGAAATAAATGTGACTCATATGACCCCCTCCCCTTCTCTCCCAGCAACGAGCAAGCAAATACTACCCTTTCCCTTAGAACAAAATAAACAACTATAAAGAAGATTTTCCCGAACCAAAACGACTCCCATCCGCTCCCCCCCGCCCCTCCCCCAGCGACCGAATATGACTTCCCCCGCTGGAGATTCCCCAGGTGGTCTGGTCACGATTCCCTTTACGCTACCGCGCTGCCTTTCTCAGTGGATGTTGCCACTGTGACGTTGCGCTCGCGACAGCTTGGCAGGAAAAAAGCTTTCGCGGCAGTGTTTGCAAAAAGATTGCAGAAAAAAAAAGAAAAGGCGATTTTGTGAGCTCCCGGGTCGATGAAGTGCTTTCTAGTGTTGAAGGGAGGTAGCGAAGAGCGTGGATGTATTCATAGCCGCAAAACCACTGTTTATTCTAGTAGAAGGAAGGAAGAGGTGTGGGAGTATAATTTTCATGGACGTAATCCATAAGGTCAAAGGTGGGCAAGTCGCCCATGCGTGCTAGAGTCACCCCAAGGTTGCAGCGTGCCATGATGAATAGCTTCTACAAAGGTCGTTTGCTATGCTAAGGTACAAAAAGGGTAAAGGATGATGTCTTCGCCGTTAATCAATCCCTTTTTGGGGTACGCCACGCATTCTGCTTGCATTCAGAATAGCTGTGGCTCGTTGAATCCGATGTGGCCTATACAATGACTTGCGGGCGGCCAGCCGATGTACAAGTCAGTGTTTAATCCTCCCAGACGAATCTGGTACCAATTTACCGTCCTCCGAAGGGTGGGGGGGCTTGTTGGTATGGGCGGAGCCGATGCGGGATTTTCCCTCGAACCGCGCATAGTAGGCATGCCACTTACCACTACGTCATCTCTGGCTATGCCTCTACTACGCCGATAAAAATAATTTGCTCTGTATCATCCAACATATTTTCACTCTGAGCGGTCTTTCAAACCATTTCGCAGGTTGCCCCTTGTTGTAACCAGTCTGGCGGTCCTGACAAATGGTGCAAACTCTAAATAATGTATTTTCAGTGAGATGAAAGAGGCATGGATTCGCGACAAGTACGAGGCGAAACGATTTTTGCCATCATTACGTGTCGACGCCACCGTTGGCGCTCAACTTGTTGGTGCAGTGATCGCGCGTGATGTCGCGGAAGTGTCACTATTGTTGGCTCGTGCTTCCCCGGAGGACGTGAACACCACAGTGTCCGGAACTCGGGATCGCCGGGAGCGGGACGACGCGCGGGCCATCCTTCCTCGTTCACCAATCCGCCGTAGACCAAATCGCCGGTTGGTTGGCGCCGGGAGCCCCCACCTACGGCGTACCTCCGCACACGCGCTCGGGATCGTCGATCACCACTTCATTTGGCGTGCAGTATTGGCAGCTTGGCTATTCTGCAATTATTGCTATGGGTCAGTAACCATTCAGAATCAGATTTATTGGTCAATCGCATGTCAGGCAACCATAGGGAAAGCGCAGCTCAGGATGATACCGTTGATTGACCTTTGATTTAGTGGTAGAGGTTTAAAATTGGCAGTTACGGTTGTCATTCATAGTGCAATTCGTCTTTTGAGCTTTGCACTTCAAAGCTAAGGGTGACTCATGTACCTCTTTATGTTTTCCATTTGCAGAACAATGCCGATATTCGTGCCCTGGACGAACAAGGACGTTCCGGTCTTTGGCATGCCCGGAACAGCGGTTTCAAGGAATGTGCAGATATGCTGCTCACTGCCGGTCTAGACACCAATTACGGTATGCCGACACCGTCGACGCGGAACTCCACGCATTCGCCCCCATTGCCAGAGGTACGGTATTACGAGTAAAGGCCTTTGAATTGAAGCTTTTGAAGTGAAAGGTCAATTTGAAAGCTTTCTATTGAATCAACTTGTTCAGGGCGCGGTGATGGGATCGTTGTCGAATCGGGATTATTCGTGCATAGGCGAAGAAGTGGTATTGAGGAGAGTGGCACCTCCAGTCGTACCAACGAAGCGCTCAACAAACGCTTTCGATTTACTGCCGGCAAGCATCATATAGACGTCTCTCCTCTCAGCTCATATGGCTACCCAAACACCGGTGTTCAACATATTATGAATTGTTTGATGTGCTGCCCTGTTTTCCTCCGTCTGTCATCGGTTCCCGCGATGCTTTCAGCGAATGTCTAGTCGTACGCCTTAACGTTTTGCTGCACGCGCGCGATTTTTACTCGTGCACTTTCGTTTTTTGAGATCTCCGTAGAAATCGTTGTAGTAGATGTATCCTCTTCCTCCTCTTCTTCCTCCTCCACCACCACCCTCAATCGACGAGTTGCCCATTGATGTATGTACTCGATCTGGCCACTTTCTTTGTTGTCATTCCATTATATTCTTTCCTTCTTCATTACTCACTCCACTCGAAACCCAGTGAGACATCATTTGAGGTCTGTAATTGTCTAGACGATCTACAGTGTTCATTCACTCGTTTTTCGATGACAAACACTGCGGTCATTCCTTGTTTGCCCTCAGTTCTCAGCAGTTTTCTCTTTTTTTAGATGTAAATATACAAGAAGATTGAAACTCACGTGTACACTGTATCATGCTAATGAAATATTTATCATTTGAAGTTGTCAAGCAGTAGTAGCCGTGGAACGGTGTATTACCAACGTGGGCTCAGCTCGTGTTTCCGGAGCTTAAGCTGGTAATGTTCTTATTTTAGTTACAGGGCACGTTGGAGAACCCCAACGAGGAGAGCAGTTTTTTGAAAAAAAAACTGGAAGCACTTCGAGAAAAAAATTTCGAAAAGAGCCAGGAGGTTGGGAGAATTTAGAAAGGTGGTAGGTAGGATGCGGAAATGGAGAGGAAATCACACCCAGAGCACGTACTACGTTGAGGAATCCCCAGGGAAGGGGGGGGGTCCTATGCTGTCGCTAGAGGGAGGGGATCGTATCTGTTTGTCGTTGGGAGGAGGAGGGCAGGAGGGCGGGGGGGGGGGGTGGGCAGAGCTGAACCGCATTGCCCAGCGACAGAATCGGCTGTTGCGGTCTCCGGTTTTTGAGTTTTCATGTTTTTTCCCGTTTCTCTGGTGCTTTCCCCTCCTCCCTGTTCGACGACAAAACTTTTGTGAAAAAACACCGAGAAAAATTTTAGGGAGCCGTTCAGCATAAAAGTAGCTAGAAAGTTTAGGAGAAGTGGCAAAGAGGGGCTAGAGAGTAGGTAGAATGGAGAAGTGCTTGGGGGGGGGTCGTAGCAAAAGGCGGAATGGACGGAGATCGCTTTTCCGAAAATTTTCTCTAGCGGCAAGACGTGTTCTGGTCACACCAGAGGTGGAAGTTTCGAGAGTTGGTCGTGTTTTGCAGTCTGTCCCCAATGGGGAGAACGTGTCCTTCGTCATCAATCTGCTAAATAAGTGGACTGGTCCTTTTGCTCCGTTTCAGGGAGAAGTCAATTTGCTTTTCTGGATGACTTTGGTTCATTGGGCGATACGCAAGCCCGCGGATAAAGTAGGCCTGGAAGAAAAACGGTATATTCATCTACGAGGATCCTGAACCTTTCCATGAACGGTGTGAATGGGTCCATCTGCGATAGCGTGCCACATTCTCGCTCAAATACGGACGGAAATGGGGCTGAAGACTAGTGATGTTCGATGCAGGCTCCATATTTCGCCCGCGCTATCTTCAGTATGTAACGCTTGCGCTATACCAAGGTTCCACACCGAAACCCATACTCAGCGGTACAGAACAGAAGTGAGAGGGCACGGATAACTAGCGCGTTTGCTCTGGTTAGGTGCCTCGCTGGCCGTGCGTCGGCGTGGAATGAGTATGGAGTGGGTACCGTGGTATCACTACCCTTCAGCTTCGTTTCCATGCCATTTTTGTGGAGAAAGTGGCATGTTGTTGCAGCTGCAGACCCGATCACCTCACACATGGCGAGGATCACGATCCACGGAGGAGGCTGTCCACTCTTGCTTGAACACGTTCCGGACCGCGTGACACACATGGTATGACATACATAAATTTTTCTGCCTGGGCCATATTGTCTGCTTAGCATCTGTTTCATGTGTCAAAGTTACCAGAACACGGAATACACATATCCCATACGTAAGGAAAAAGCGGATGAAACTACTGGTTATCGATGTGGAAGGTAATGAAATGATGAGGATATCCTTGTAGAACGGCGGTCCGCAACTTTTGAGGGAGCCCATTCACTGGGTAGCTTCTTATGGGAACAGAGTAAAAGTTGGGCAAAATTACTAGTGCACCCCACATTTTGATGAAATTCCGGCATCACTTTTAAAAACACATGGTATGATCACACATACACTCCTTATCCCTTAGCCAGAGTAGGCGTGGCATTTGAACATGGCACGGAACTGGTTACTCGTGGAATATTCCAGTCTGGGACAACTGTCATCTTGTTCTGTGTTGGACAGAGACACGACAACAATTGTGTCAAGATGAAAAT